GTAATCATGAGAAACTCCAAGCTGACAATCTACCAGAAGGCTGGCTAGGGCCTCCTGGAAAGATGAGCCGGCAGAGGCTGGCAGGAGGGAAGGTGGGCCCGGGAGCCATGTGTCACCCCTCACCGGCACACAATGTAGCGGATGACGTTGGCGTGGCAGATGAAGATCTCGTAACTGTCCTCCTGCTGCTTGGCATCTGCCCGGTGGATGTAGTTCCGGAAGGCAGCCTCGATCCGTGCTCCATCTTCGTAATACTGCTGGGGGCAGGGTAAGGAACCTTAAGTATGGAGGCAGCATGCAGGCCACGGGTGGAGGGGTATGGGCAGAGTGGGCCAACGGGAGCGGGGTGGGGGATGCTCCCCGGGGGAGTAGGGGTTTTACCACAGCCTCTGGCTTCCAGTGGGACACAGGTGGGTCGGGCTCGATGGGGGCGCCTTCTCTTAGCAGGTCTGTGCTGACCTTGCAGACCCCTGTGGGAGAAGCAATGACTCGGTGCTGCCCCTTCAGGAGAAGCTGCCCAGGGCCCTCTGCCGTTCTCAATCCTGCTGCCCAGGGACCTGGGGATGCCCGGCACTCACCTGGCAGGTGTTTGCTGATGATATCAGTGGTTTCTATTGCACGAGTCATGGACGAATGGACAATTTTATTAAACTTCAACCCCAGGCTTGCAAGTCGGAGCCCAGTTAGTTCAGCCTGTTCACGACCTTGAAAATGAAAAACACCGGAGAATTACATGTTGCTGGAGTTCCTCTTTTGTTTACTTCACAAATACTCCAGTCGTTACCAAGTACCATCAGGGCTGGGGGACAAGGTGGGCAGGCCCTCCTGGGGCTTGGGCCTAACTGGGCGGCCAGGCATTCAACAGGTAAAATCAACGAGATAATGCAGTTACCTTCAGCCCTGTACAGAAGAAGTGTTAAACAGTGCCCAAGGCTGAGGGTCACTGAAGTGTGGTAGGCTCCTGTTACTATTTCTGGGTCCTTCGTGCCACTTTTACTCAATTTTGTCCAAAGACTGAGTTTCAGAGTGCCGCCGTCCCACCAGTTGTGGAATCATCAGAGATACCAACACGTAAAGACCCAACGGCCTCAGCATTACTAAGTACAGACTGCGTGCAAACACGGGTCTTTTTTCTCAAATATGTATCTTAGAATCTGGTTGAAAATGCCCTCAGCGAGTCCGTTTCAGCTGCACGTGGCAGCACCCTGGACGGGGCCTCCCTGCTCACGTGGCACAGCGGGCTGGAGGACAGGCTGCTAAGCCCTTTATGCCATCTGAGTTTTTTAGTGCGTGGACAAATGGGTCATATCCTGTCTGACAAAGAAATCTTTACAAACTTAAACTATCTCAGACCACCCGTGCCTCCTCTCCTAGGAATTCCTTCCACAGATGTGCTTGCACGCCGGCAGAAAGACCATGGCGGACATGCATGCCCAGCAGTGCCGCGCACGACGGCAGGACTCGGCGACAGGCAGCCCTTCTGCCAGGGGGACGTGAGAGTCGCTATCACTCACTCTCGTCTGTTTACCATTGTGAAGCCGACTTTAAACAGATCTGCAGGTGCTGAACAGAAGGATCTCCGGCAACAGGTTAGGTTGAGCCAAACAGGGTGTACACGGTACGCCACTTGCTGAGCATGAGTACAGAACACCTCTGCTGTGCTTTGGATCTGATCACCTGCGAGATCCACCATATATATTTTTTTAAAGCTGAGGATGTTCTCAATGCCCGTCTTGTGTCAGTGAGGCTGATGATCACCGTTAATGACAATTCTTGAATCTAGGCCAAGCCCCTGACATAGGCCCAAGGGGCCCAGCGCCACCGGGATGGGTGTCAATTGGGGCTTGAGCCCCAGCACGTACCCAGGGGCGTCAGAGTGCGGTCCTTTTCCAGGGAGGCATCCACATGGTACTGGGAGTGCCTGATGAGGAAGATGTGTCGTGTGGCCTTGGCTTTGCAGTGGTCCAGCCTGGACGCCAGTTCTTCTTCTCCGGAGTCCAGGTTCCTCTTCCGCAGGTTGACCAGGGACAGTGGTTCTCGCCTAATGTTGAAATATGAGAGGTGTGTCCTTGAGATCCCCACTCACAAGTCAGCCTTGAGTATTTCTGACAAGACAGTATTTCCATCTTGGGAAAGCGCAGGGACAAGACCATGCCCTTTGCACTCTGCTCTCTGCTGCTGGCCCGAGAGCCCATCATTTACTGCACAGAGCTCAGTGCCTGGCCTGTTGTGGGTGATCAAACGGAGAAGCGAAGCCCTTGTGCAGCTTGTATTCTAGTGAGAAGACTGATTAAAACAGCCAGGTGATAAGTGATGTGCGGAAAACGAAACCGGGAACAGGAAGGGGCAGCTGGGGGAGTGCCCACAAGGCCAGTGTGGCCTCGCTGACGCAGAGCCTGCAACTGTGCTGTCCAACACTAGCCACTGGCCCTGTGGCTACTTAAACTCAAAATGATGAAAATTAAACAAAATATTACTCCATTTCCCCGGTCACACTAAGCACATTTGAAATGTCTATTGGATGGCACCACTGGAAGGTTGAGGAGGAGCTGAGGGAGCAGCGGGGGGTGAGGGCGGGGGGGGGGGCACCAACAGCCACATGCTGAGAAACGGCCAAATCTTATGAAGACAGGCATGTCTGGTGGCTCCCAGAACTGAAATTAATAAAAGCTAATGGTCTGCGGTATGGGCAGAGCTAGGAAAAGAGTGTCCTCAGCTGGGACAAAGTGGTGACAGGATAAGTTTTGAGGGGAGCAGTGGCAACTCAGGGGTCCTGCTGGGTGAACCTGGGGTGCCCTAACACAAACAGGCTGAGATGCCACACTGGAGCCCAGGGCTGGGCCAGAGAAGACATCTGGGCACTACCGACACAGATACTGAAAGCCCAGACTGGACGAGGTTCTCCAGGAAGAGGCTGGACATCTCACCAGATGAGGCTCTGGAACTTTCCAGCACAGACAGCCTCCCCCTTCATAAACCTAGACTTGGTGAGCAAATACAGCGTGTCAGCTTCAACCAATAAAGCTAGAGTCCAGTGCTGCTTCCAGTAAGTCCTTTAATCTCACAGTGAATGTTTCCTTAAAAAAAACTGAGAAATTCAGAAGACGGTACTGACGTTTGAAAAAGAGAGTATGACCCTGGTCGAATCATGAGAAAAACAGACAAATCCCAATTGATGGGCATACTATAAAATTCCTGATTACCACTCCTCAAAACTGTCATCAGTTTTGATGTCAAGGTCATCAAAACAAGGAAGTCTGAGAAACTGTCACACCCAAGAGAAGCCTGAGGACACATGACTAATTGTCAGGTGGGATCCTGGAAGAGACAACAGACAATAGCTGAAAACTGAGGAAATCTCAAAAAAGCATGAATGTCAGTCAATAGTAACATACAGATATTAGTCCACTGATTGTGACGAATACACCATACTAGCATTACAAGATGTTAGTAGAGTAAATCATGGGTAGAGTATATAAGAACTCTTATCTTTCCAATTTTTGTATAAATCTAAAACAGTTCTAAGATTTTTTTTTTTTTAATTAAAGATTTAAAACAAAGAATACCAGGGGCGCCTGGGTGGCTCAGATGGTTAAGCGTCTGCCTTCGGCTCAGGTCATGATCCCGGGGTCCTGGGACTGAGCCCAGGGATCGGGGTCCCTGCTCAGCGGGAGCCTGCTTCTCCCTCTCTCTCTACTGTGCCCCCTGCTTGTGTTCTCTCTCTGTCAAATAAATAAATACATCTTAAAAACCAAAACCAAAACCAAAGAATACCTATGAAGTTCCTGATACAACCAGGCTGCCAGCAAATACTAGTTCTGTGCCCCTCATTCAGAGTAACGTAGGAAGGACGAGCTGGGATCGGATAAACCAGTCCACAGGGCCACGCCCAGACTCCAGAGCAGCGCCGCCCAACAGAAACACACCACCAGCAACATATGCACTTTAAAATTTCCAAGAAGCCACAGGTGAAATTTCAAAAATTCACTTTATTTAATCCAACGTATCAACAACAGTATCACCGCAACACATAAACAGTATAAAAAAATCTGCGCTGCTTTGGTTTTTAGATTTAAATTCATTAACATCAAATAACACTAAAAATGTTTCCTGATCACAGGTGCCACTTTTCAAGTGCCCACTAAGCACACGTGGCTTGTGGCCACGCACGGACCCAAGACCTGGAGCTTCCGTGCCCATTCAAGATGTCTAGCCATGCCCTTGCCCATCTTCCCCGCGAAGAGGTCCCTTTCCAGACCAGCCCATCGCCCTCGGGCCCACAGGCACCCTTCTCTCAGCGGCTCGGCACAGACGGGGTCAGCACGCCATCATCCAATCCGAGCGCTCCAGGTTGAGCGAGGGAAACCAGGCTGACAGCCTACAGGCAGGTCCGACCCTCTACCGGGCCTGAAGGCGACCACCTCGGGCCGCCCGCGTGGCAGGCACCGTCCCAGGCACCACTGTCCTCCTCCCTCCGAACGGCCCTCTGGACAGGCGAGGCGGCCGGGGCGCGGAAGAGGGGTCGAGGGCGCCCCCGCTCGCAGCCAGCCTCGCGGCCACATCCGGAAGCGAAGTCCGCCCGCGAGCCTGCCCCTCCTGCCCCTCCGCGGAACCGACCACACCGGACCGAAGGGAACGCCAGGGGCCCGGAGGGTCCCCGCCGCCCGACAGTCGGCGCGCCCGACGCCACCCGCGGGCCCCGCACCTGTCCCAGTTGGGGTCCCAGACGCCCGGCCCGGGGCGAGCGGCCCCCGCCCACGCCGGCGCCTCGACCACACGCGGCTCAGCGTCCCCGCCCGCGCGGGGCTTCCCCACTGCCACGGCCGAGAAGAGCACGGCGGCCGAGCCTCCGGCCAGGCCGCAAGCCGCCAGCTGCAGCGCCTGTCGGAACGCCATGCCCGCCCGTTCCGCGCCGGCCCCGCGCAGGCGCTCAGGGGTGGACGGCGCGCCGCGAGGGACACGATTCCCCAGGTGTCCGCTTCCGGCCGGCGGGCCGCGCGGGGACGGAAGTCCCGCCCCCGGGGCCGGTGGGCCGCGGGGCGGGGAACGCCCCGGCCGCTCGCAGACAGTTTCCGGGAACGCAGTGGAGGAGGCGTGGTGGGCGACGGTTCTGAGGCCTTTTTCCCGGGTCTTGTGCTGAAGGCCCCGGTGCAGGTCAGTCCTGGTTTCCAGCAGCGAGCGTTGGCGCGGCGCCACCCGTTTGCTCCGCGCTGCCCGTGTGGAGCCGCCTTCCGGGGCACAACGGGAGCATCTGAGCCAGCGGCGGGGCGTGTGTGAGAGAGAGAGAGACGGGGCGGCGGGGTGTGTGTGTGTGTGAGAGAGAGAGAGACGTCTGTGTGAGAGAGGCAGAGCGTGTGTGAGAGAGACGGGGCAGCGGAGCGTGTGTGTGTGAGAGAGGCGCGGCGTGTGTGTGTGTGAGAGAGAGACGGGGCGGCGGGGTGTGTGTGTGTGTGTGAGAGAGAGAGAGACGGGGCGGCGGGGCGTGTGTGAGAGAGAGACGCACGGCGTGTGTGTTTGTGTCTGTGTGTGTGTGAGAGAAAGAGACGGGGCGTTGGGGCGTGTGAGAGAGAGAGACGGGGCGGCGGGGTGTGTGTGTGTGTGTGAGAGAGAGAAGGAGAGACGGGGCGGTGGGGGGTGTGTGAGAGAGAGAAGGGGCGTTGGGGCGTGTGTGAGAGAGAGAGAGACGGGGCGGCGGGGTGTGTGTGTGTGTGTGAGAGAGAGAGAGAGACGGGGCGGCGGGGCGTGTGTGAGAGAGAGAAGGGGCGTTGGGGCGTGTGTGAGAGAGAGAGACGGGGCGGCGGGGTGTGTGTGTGTGTGTGAGAGAGAGAAGGAGAGACGGGGCGGTGGGGGGTGTGTGAGAGAGAGAAGGGGCGTTGGGGCGTGTGTGAGAGAGAGAGACGGGGCGGCGGGGTGTGTGTGTGTGTGTGAGAGAGAGAGACGGGGCGGCAGGGCGTGTGTGAGAGAGAGAGACGGGGCGGCGGGGTGTGTGTGTGTGTGTGAGAGAGAGAGAGAGACGGGGCGGCGGGGCGTGTGTGAGAGAGAGAGAGACGCGCGGCGTGTGTGTTTGTGTCTGTGTGTGTGAGAGAGAAAGAGACGGGGCGTTGGGGCGTGTGTGAGAGAGAGAGACGGGGCGGCGGGGTGTGTGTGTGTGTGTGAGAGAGAGACAGGGCGTTGGGGCGTGTGTGAGAGATGCGCGGCGTGTGTGTGTGTGTGTATGAGAGAGAGAGACGGGGCGTTGGGGCGTGTGTGAGAGATGCGCGGCTTGTGGGTGCGTGTGAGAGAGACGGGGCGGCGGGGTGTGTGTGAGAGAGACGCGGGGCGTGTGTGTGTGTGTGTGTGTGTGTGTGAGAGAGAGAGAGAGAGAGACGGGGCGTTGGGGCGTGTGTGAGAGATGCGCGGCCTGTGTGTGTGTGTGTGAGAGAGACGGGGCGGCGGTGTGTGTGTGTGTGTGTGTGTGTGTGTGTGTGAGAGAGACGGGGCGGTGGGGTGTGTGTGTGAGAGAGAGAGAGAAGGGGCGGCGGAGTGTGTGTGCGTGTGAGAGAGACGCGCGGTGTGTGTGTGTGTGAGAGAGAGACGGGGCGGTGGGGTGTGTGTGAGAGAGAGATGGGGCGTTGGGGCGTGTGTGAGAGATGCGCGGCGTGTGTGTGCGTGTGTGAGAGAGAGAGACGGGGCGGCGGGGTGTGTGTGTGTGTGAGAGAGAGAGAGACGTGTGTGTGAGAGAGGCAGAGCGTGTGTGAGAGAGACGGGGCAGCGGAGCGTGTGTGTGTGAGAGAGGCGCGGCGTGTGTGTGTGTGAGAGAGAGACGGGGCGGCGGGGTGTGTGTGTGTGTGTGTGAGAGAGAGAGAGACGGGGCGGCGGGGCGTGTGTGAGAGAGAGACGCACGGCGTGTGTGTTTGTGTCTGTGTGTGTGTGAGAGAAAGAGACGGGGCGTTGGGGCGTGTGAGAGAGAGAGACGGGGCGGCGGGGTGTGTGTGTGTGTGTGAGAGAGAGAAGGAGAGACGGGGCGGTGGGGGGTGTGTGAGAGAGAGAAGGGGCGTTGGGGCGTGTGTGAGAGAGAGAGACGGGGCGGCGGGGTGTGTGTGTGTGTGTGAGAGAGAGAGAGAGACGGGGCGGCGGGGCGTGTGTGAGAGAGAGAGACGGGGCGGCGGGGTGTGTGTGTGTGTGTGAGAGAGAGAGAGAGACGGGGCGGCGGGGCGTGTGTGAGAGAGAGAAGGGGCGTTGGGGCGTGTGTGAGAGAGAGAGACGGGGCGGCGGGGTGTGTGTGTGTGTGTGAGAGAGAGAGAAGGAGAGACGGGGCGGTGGGGGGTGTGTGAGAGAGAGAAGGGGCGTTGGGGCGTGTGTGAGAGAGAGAGACGGGGCGGCGGGGTGTGTGTGTGTGTGTGAGAGAGAGAGAGAGACGGGGCGGCGGGGCGTGTGTGAGAGAGAGAGACGGGGCGGCGGGGTGTGTGTGTGTGTGTGAGAGAGAGAGAGAGACGGGGCGGCGGGGCGTGTGTGAGAGAGAGAGAGACGCGCGGCGTGTGTGTTTGTGTCTGTGTGTGTGAGAGAGAGAGACGGGGCGTTGGGGCGTGTGTGAGAGAGAGAGACGGGGCGGCGGGGTGTGTGTGTGTGTGTGAGAGAGAGACAGGGCGTTGGGGCGTGTGTGAGAGATGCGCGGCGTGTGTGTGTGTGAGAGAGAGAGAGACGTGTGTGTGAGAGAGGCAGAGCGTGTGTGAGAGAGACGGGGCAGCGGAGCGTGTGTGTGTGAGAGAGGCGCGGCGTGTGTGTGTGTGAGAGAGAGACGGGGCGGCGGGGTGTGTGTGTGTGTGTGAGAGAGAGACAGGGCGTTGGGGCGTGTGTGAGAGATGCGCGGCGTGTGTGTGTGTGAGAGAGAGACGTGTGTGTGAGAGAGGCAGAGCGTGTGTGAGAGAGACGGGGCAGCGGAGCGTGTGTGTGTGAGAGAGGCGCGGCGTGTGTGTGTGTGAGAGAGAGACGGGGCGGCGGGGTGTGTGTGTGTGTGTGAGAGAGAGAGAGACGGGGCGGCGGGGCGTGTGTGAGAGAGAGACGCACGGCGTGTGTGTTTGTGTCTGTGTGTGTGTGAGAGAAAGAGACGGGGCGTTGGGGCGTGTGAGAGAGAGAGACGGGGCGGCGGGGTGTGTGTGTGTGTGTGAGAGAGAGAAGGAGAGACGGGGCGGTGGGGGGTGTGTGAGAGAGAGAAGGGGCGTTGGGGCGTGTGTGAGAGAGAGAGACGGGGCGGCGGGGTGTGTGTGTGTGTGTGAGAGAGAGAGACGGGGCGGCGGGGCGTGTGTGAGAGAGAGAGACGGGGCGGCGGGGTGTGTGTGTGTGTGTGAGAGAGAGAGAGAGACGGGGCGGCGGGGCGTGTGTGAGAGAGAGAGAGACGCGCGGCGTGTGTGTTTGTGTCTGTGTGTGTGAGAGAGAAAGAGACGGGGCGTTGGGGCGTGTGTGAGAGAGAGAGACGGGGCGGCGGGGTGTGTGTGTGTGTGTGAGAGAGAGACAGGGCGTTGGGGCGTGTGTGAGAGATGCGCGGCGTGTGTGTGTGTGTGTATGAGAGAGAGAGACGGGGCGTTGGGGCGTGTGTGAGAGATGCGCGGCTTGTGGGTGCGTGTGAGAGAGACGGGGCGGCGGGGTGTGTGTGAGAGAGACGCGGGGCGTGTGTGTGTGTGTGTGTGTGTGTGTGAGAGAGAGAGAGAGAGAGACGGGGCGTTGGGGCGTGTGTGAGAGATGCGCGGCCTGTGTGTGTGTGTGTGAGAGAGACGGGGCGGCGGTGTGTGTGTGTGTGTGTGTGTGTGTGTGTGAGAGAGACGGGGCGGTGGGGTGTGTGTGTGAGAGAGAGAGAGAAGGGGCGGCGGAGTGTGTGTGCGTGTGAGAGAGACGCGCGGTGTGTGTGTGTGTGAGAGAGAGACGGGGCGGTGGGGTGTGTGTGAGAGAGAGATGGGGCGTTGGGGCGTGTGTGAGAGATGCGCGGCGTGTGTGTGCGTGTGTGAGAGAGAGGGACGGGGCGGCGGGGTGTGTGTGTGTGTGAGAGAGAGAGACGGGGCGTTGGGGCGTGTGTGAGAGATGTGCGGCTTGTGGGTGCGTGTGAGAGAGACGGGGCGGCGGGGTGTGTGTGTGTGTGTGAGAGAGAGAGAGGGACGGGGCGGCGGGGCGTGTGTGAGAGAGACGCGGGGCGTGTGTGTGTGTGTGTGTGTGTGTGTGAGAGAGAGAGAGAGAGACGGGGCATTGGGGCGTGTGTGAGAGATGCGCGGCCTGTGTGTGTGTGTGTGAGAGAGACGGGGCGGCGGGGTGTGTGTGTGTGTGTGTGTGTGAGAGAGAGACGGGGCGGTGGGGTGTGTGTGAGAGAGAGATGGGGCGTTGGGGCGTGTGTGAGAGATGCGCGGCGTGTGTGTGCGTGTGTGAGAGAGAGAGACGGGGCGGCGGGGTGTGTGTGTGTGAGAGAGAGATGGGCCACGGGGTGTGTATATGTGTGTGTGAGACAGGGCTGTGGGACCTGTGTGTGTGAGAGAGACGGGGTCATGGGGCTCTATGTGTGTGACCACACCACTTGTGTGTTTGTGACCATGCCACAGGGTGGAGGGGAGTGTGTGTGTGTGCTTGTGTGTGACCCTGTTGTGGGGTGTGTGTGTGTGCCTGTGAATGCGTGTAAGACTGAATGGGCAGGGCGGGGGTGGGACCACTCCTTGGGGGGCACTGGAAGGAGCCCCAGCCTTGAGGCTGAGAGCCCGACGCGGGGCTCGACCCAGGGCCCGGGATCATGACCTGAGCTGAAAGCAGATGCTTAACCGACTGAGCCACCCAGGCGCCTCAGTCTTAACCAGTTTTAAGCATATAGTTCTGTGGCATTAAGTACATTCACACTGTTGTGCAACCACCACCACCACCACCACCATCCATCTCCAGAACTTTCTCCTCTTCCCAAAGTGACACTCTGTCCCTATTAAACACTGATCCCCTATTTGCCTCCCCCAGCTTCTGGCACACACCATTCCCTTCGTCTGTATGAATCTGACAATTCTAGGGACCTCATGTAAGTCGAATCACATGGTATTTTTCCTTTCATTTAGCATAGTGTTCTCAAGGTTCACCCATGTTGTAGCATGTCACAGGTTCCTTTTTAAGGCTGAATAATATTCCACTTTATGGATATAATACATTTTGTT